CAGGCCAACAAGAGTGATTAATAAAAGTTGAAATAATTTATTCATAATTGTTGTAAAATAAAAGTTTACGTTTTTCTTTTACTAATTTTACTTTTAAATGTATTAAGGAAAAGCTGTATGACATCTACAAAAGATAATAGTTTAAGGTGGAGTCCAAGCACTCTGTCTTGTATCTCCAATAAAGAAGAGTTCCAATTTGTTTAGACTTAATCTGACTTAAAGTTACTTGCCCTTTGCTATAGGCAAAGAGATCCCTCTCTCTGTCTTGTATCTCCATTGAAGAAGATTTGTTCGGCACGAATCTGGCTTAGAGTTGCTAGCCAATTCAGTTTTCCAAAAAAGAAGAGTGCCAATTTTTTCCGCATCAATATGATTTAGAGTTGCTTGCCCATTTGCAAAGAGTTCCAGTGCTCTTTCTCCTACCTCCAAATAAGAAGAGTTCCAATTGTTCGGCACCAATATGGCTTGGAGTAATTGCTTACCTTAATTATTATATATACTGTAGCGATGAGTTCCAGCACTCTATCTTGTACCTCCAAAAAAGAAGAGTTCCAATTTGTTTGGCATTAATCTGATTTGGAGTTGCTTCCCCATTTACATATAGCAAAGTGTGATATATGAAAGAAACATATATATTTATCATTTTTCCCAAATAAGTCACTTCCGCCACAGGGACTTGATTTCCAGACTACTTGATTGTAAAGTTACAGAGCTTATACACTGTGCTACCTGTGTCATAATATTTGTTATATATTTGTACTTTTCTACAGCATTATTTGGGAATTATTTCAATTTGTTCTTATTGCTCAATAATGTCCACAAACTAATTGTTTATCTTTGTGTGAATGTAGAGATAAATTACATAAATATATAGAAGAAAAGCAGTGGCCCCGTCTCACTTAAACACTTGCCCAAAATTTTGTTTATCATATGATAACCTGTATTTCACGTATCTTCTATATTGACAAACCCCTGTGCTGTCTGCCATTGATTTTATTTCCCCCGTTACATGCTCTCACCTAAAACAATAATCTCCTATTTTGCCTGGTCATCATTAAGAATGATGTGACCGGCGTAACATGCAGGCTACCGTAGTCAGATCAGAACTGATGAATGTTCTGTCAACCCCACAGTTTTCTCTATCTCCTCAGTGTGTGTGGTTCTGGAGGCAGATGGTAGCCATATTACAACAGTGCACATGATTTTCCATCTGGTTCTGTTTTGTCCTTCTACCGGTTTTTAAATGTAATGGAAGTTAATTGACGATACGATACGTGTGATAATTTTTCCTATATCCGATGATTTGTGAAAGATTAAATTATGGAAAATAGAGTTACATTTCAGCAATTCCCATTCAATAAGAATGCTTACATAAGTAGATCATAAAATAAATTTCAAGAAATGTCCCTTTTTAAGATTTTTTTCATATTTTGAAGATGTTCTAAAACCTAATAGACTATATTGATCATGATGAAGCTTGTCTAAACAGAACAATTAAATCATTTACCCCTATAAATTCATAATGAACTATTCCAACCTTTGAATTGGAAGAGTTCAAAGGTGTCTTTAGGGGTGAATGAGTTAATATAATATATTAATCATGGTGAAGCTTCTCTAAGCACAACAGCAATAATATCCACAAAGTTTGGATTTCACAGATTCCGTTGAAACATGAAAATACATACAGACGTATACCTTTAACAATTTTAACTGTTCATAGAGTATTTTGATTCTGACAAAATGAATAATATGTAGAATTTCATCACGCCAAACTATTGACAAATGGCAGTTCGTAATTGAATATTTTTCATTCATTTTTACACAAAACTTAAAGATGCTTATTTTTTGTATTTTTCTTCAAATTTGAGATCGCTTTTTATTGAACGTAGCAGCCCAACAACACCGTGAACATAACCTAGCAAATCTTCAATGATTATGGGGGTCCAAATAGATTTGTAGTAATGAAATCTTGATCATCATGCGACAGTTTTGGACTTGTAATAGTTGACTTTGGTATATTTCTGAAGTAGCAGCAGTGCAAAACAAATGTGAAAACTTGTTTATACAGGTCGCCATTATCTACAAAGGTGATCAGCAGCATTCGTATTCATCAGGTTCTTACAAGTTTATTCAAAATTTAATTTGATAGATTTGTTTGATTTGTAAACTGGGTAAACTTCCCCTTAAATATCCCTTTAAAGTCCCCCCCCCCCCCCCCCCCCCCCCCCCCCNACACACACACAAAAAACACCATAACAAACTTTATGTTATTTAAATCTTTTTGATTTAATATGATAAATTTTTGTGTTAACATTAAATAAACCCATCGTAGTGTTAAGTAGAATTTTGCATTAGAGAGACCCCTAATCTGTGGGTCGTCAGCAATCCCTCTCGCTGTCGTCGGAGCATGTTAAAACCTACACAAGGATAATCGTGTGCCACTCACTCTGCAGGACGACAGTGTAATGTTCTTCACTTTTTACGCAGGCAGCACTCGCCCAATATTTAATGTAGGACTTAAGGCCGACACAGAATAGATAGTGGTATATCAGGGTTCTTATTAAACTGTACTGGTATTTACAGGTGAAAACATTAGTGGCGGAACACGATCTCTCACCCGATCTCTCACCGGGGTCAGGCAAACAGTAATGTGCATGCATCGTCAAGACTGAAAAACAAATTCAAAGGTCATTTAAAGAGAAATCTATACCTCACGAAATTGATATGAGCGGTGTGTATATAATGTATATATACACACATATACGCACAGCAAAGTTTGTCCAATTACTGCATTAATGGGTGGTTGTTTTTTCTTTCCGTGGGCTTGGGTTATAAAACAGATAAATGTATACACAGGTAGGCATAGAAAATGTATAAAAAGGCAGAGAGATTGTTGTACAGGTGAAAAAAATACAGGTAAGTTGTTAAACATGGGAATGCCCTCCTACACATTATGGAGAGGCAGTGTTTGTGCAGGACACAAGGTGTGGTTTGTATAGAGTGTGACGTTGATTGAATTTCTATGTCAATACATCGACTCAAAAATAATGTGATTCATCATTGCACTTTTGAATTTATCAAAAGTTAACGTAAATATATTTAGTGAAAAATGACACGAATAAAGATTTATTACAATTATTTCTTTGTGAAAAAATAAAACTTTAAATAATTCCTCATTAACAAAAATGCGACTCACATCAAAGAGTTTGTGTCAGTATTTGACATCAAATCTCCTTGACTCATACTTGACGAGGATACATGTTTTGCATAATGATTAATAGCTCTGAGAAAAAATCACGTTCTTCAACGAAACTTTCAGGTTGCAATATTTTCAAAATATAAATACTGAGATATGTTTCCATATTTGGCAATTAACACTGCATGTTAAGTCTATGACAGTAGAGAAGCTTGTTATAAATAAATCTTAACAAGTATGTCAGTATAGAAAACCTCATTATGAATTAACTCATTCACCCCTGAAGACACGTTTGAACTCTTCCAATTCAAAGATTGGAATAGTTCATTATGAAATTTCAGGGGTGAATGAGTTAATCTTACAAGTATAACAGTAGTTATTCTTGTTATAAATAAATGTTTATTAGAGGACATGGTGAAAAATATCATTGAAGTAACAAAACATGCATTCAACCAATTATGTCTATTAGGATATCCTTAGCCTAAATTTAAAATAATTTTCTTAGCTTAAATTTCACGAAAAATCTTATTTAAAATAATTTTCTTAGCTTAAATTTCCACATAATATTGAAGCCAAATTTTTGCCTTTGGGATTCTACTTTACAGGTTGAAAGGAAGTTTTTGTTATTTGCCGTTTGATTTGTTCTGATAAATTGCATATTTCACTGTCAATACAAATGTTTGTTTACCTCGGGGTAGCCTAGCTGACAGTAGCTTTTATCTGTAGTTTAATCAATACAGTTAAAAGTTTTGGGGAAGTATTAAATTTGTGAGGAGATACGCTGCACTGAATGGAATGTGAACTTCCTTGTCACTGCATTCGCAGTATCTTAACAGCAGGCCTCGCTGTCACAGATTTTTCAGTGACTTACGAAAATTCATCAACTTTTAAAGATTTTTCCATTATAAGGAATTGCTGGAATTGCAGAAAAATCTTGAATTGAGAAATTTTCCTTAACTTTACTCACTGGTCCTTTCCTATGGAAAATCTTAAGTTCAGGATGTTAACTCATTTACCTCTGAAGACACATTTGAACTCTTCCAATTCAAAAGTTGGAATAGTTCATTAGGAAATTTCAGGGGTGAATGAGTTGAAGGACATTTATGAAAGCAGGACCAACTTGTGTATTTGAAAGATAAACTCAAATACAAGTTTGGTTCTGTTTTAGCTACAAAAATTTATTAGCAGTACTGCAGCTAAAAGGTATTTTTGTGCATTCTAAGCATTTGCGTGGATTTACTAAAATGGTAATTTTCACAGGATCTGTTAAGGATGCAAGGATGTTATTGTCTTTAACCAGATCTTCATCTTCTTGCCGGGAAATTTGAAATGGGAGCCAACTGCAATTAGAGCTAATCAATTAATTACCTTCTGAATCAAAACTTCACAAATTCTCTTGTTAGTTATTTTCAAACTGAAGAAAATTTTCTAATTTCTTATCTGCTATTATTGTTAAATATTGAAAGCAGCATTTACTATACACTTTGGGTTTAAGGGAGTAGATTTGGGGAAAAAGGATCAGAAATATTCAACAATAATTTACGTTGTTTACCAGATAACTGAATAAGAACAAATTAATTTCATGTTGTAAATTCTTAGAAGAAATAAACCTTTCGATATACTAGCACCATCAATTTCATAATTGAAACCTGATCAGCCAGGTGATGAGTACGGTTTAGAAGACGTTGTAACTTGCTATTTCCGTAGGCTGCCTTTGCGGAGACAACATGCAGACATTACGAGTAGACAAAGAGGTGTGTTGTTCAGTAAGGCCATGCTAATTCTTGCGACATTTTATTTTCAGACACACGTTAGGCAGTAAAGGCTACAGTGACAGCGTTTGAGCCAGAAACCAAAGGTAGCCAGAAAAACGATCGCTGAGAGTACATCCAGGCGAGAGCAGACGGCAGTGAGACCTCAATTCAATATCTGGAGCCTTGCACAGGGAACGTGGTCAACGGTTTATACAACAAACTGGCGACCTTATGTTTTAACAGGGGCTAACTGCGGTTTACATATCAGAACAAAAGACGGACAAGTTGTTTTTTTCATTCTCCAGTGATTTTCACTCCACAGGATGTAACGGCATGATAAATGGACATTGACGAGTGTGTCGCGCAACAGGGCTAGATTGGTGTCAGTTTCTTGTACGACCAACGCCCCCTGGTGTGGTACAGGGGTGTGTGCCCACAACATGACATTATGTGTGTGATAAGCTGTAGAGCCAGCAGACCGTAGCATCTCCCGAGCCCCAGAATTCAGTGAACTGTGGTGCTCACGTAGTAACAGCCACAGGAACGAGAAAGGACAGACTCCAGAATACACTCGTCTCTGGAGTGACAATTCCTCTGGTCAGCACCTAATAATCTACCTCAAGAATATCTTTGTAAAAATTTAGCAAACATATTTCTTATATATGCACATATTAATTATTATCTATATATTTATACATTGTTACAAGAAAAATTCCTTTTCAAAAGTTTAAGAGGAAAAATTACTGTTGAAGTGTTACATATTAAACAAACAAAAATTCCAAAATATTTAGGGAAAGTATTTATTGGAATTTTACAAATTCATCAGACTTGACCTCGGGTAGCTGTATATTTGTGTATATGCCTAAAAACACTGGTCTTTGGGTCTGTGACTTGAGAGAACGGAGAGCCCTCCTGTGTGTGACAAGCATAATACTATTTACCTGTGCTGTAGTAGTAGCTCACACTTAAATCAATCTTCATTCATGGGTGTAAAATCGGTGTGCTGGCGTGTATATATGCAAGTACTTAAGAAGTCACTGAAGCATTTGAGCCCTGGGGCAGGCCTCTTACATGAAGAACTGATTTAAAAAAAATTGAAATCTTGTGTTTAGGAACGAGAAGGACAACAAAAGACAGAAGAAAACAGGATTATCCTCATTGTAGACCTAAAGGGGGGGTGTTCATCCTCTGTGCAGGTCAAGGGATCAATGTATCGTGGTTGACTTGGAATTTCTTGGAGATGGTAATCTCTTTCAGCGTAAAATCATTGTACCACGAGAGTACTGTGAAGTGTGTGTACATTACGGTACAGCGATTACACGTGAGGGTTGGGACTTCTTGTGTTACACTGGGCACCTCGCTAACCAAGGCAACACAACATTACATGGCCAGGGAGATTCACCTGTTGCCCAAACTGCCACCCTTGGTCTCCTCTCACCTGGCCTCCGTCGCTCACCTGGCCAGAACTTACCTGGACATTTAGGATTTATCTGTGCTACCTATGGTCATCATCGCCGTCACTGGGGACACTAGACAATAATTACTGCTTTGGTCATGAGGGTGTTGGTCAAGGGCTGGACGTCTCTCCTAGGGCGTGGTACACTGGCCAGGAGTGACCGGTCAGCTTGGACATGCTGTCACCTGGTCAGTCTTCCTTATATTGATGGTATGGACTACAGGTAGAAAGGTAAGTGTCAATTATTACTTCATTATGTCTGGCTGAATGTAAACAATGGGGTCTACTTTACTGGAGGGGGGTATAGTAGTATTAGTGTAAGGGTGGAGAGGGAGGGGATGGTGGGCTAAGGAGGGGATATATGGAGGATTTAGGGGTTGATATGGAAGGTTGGACATGGTGAGGTTATTAAGAGGGAAGGGGAGGGTTAGGGGTGAGTAAAGTTGGCAAGATATAAATGCGGAGGAGAGGGATGGGGGAGAGGGAGCTGAGAGGTATAGGGTTTGAGTATTGCGAGAGAAACTTTAGGTCAGGGGAACGGTGGAATGTAAGGGTAGATAGGGAGTCAAGAGGAAGAGTTAAAGTAGGGAGTGAGAAAAAATACTGAGGTGTNGTGAGAGAAAAGACGATGAAGGATGGGGAAGGGAGGGTAACAGGACAAGTGTCACGTCACGTTTAGGGTAACAGGAGAGGTAATAACTGTAACGGATAATGAGAGGGGTATCAGCTGTTAAGGTTCAGGAAAGGGGACTTTAGTGTCAAAATTAAGGGTGTGTCAACTGTTTAAGGTAAGGGACCAAGGGCAATAGGGGAACCAACTGTGTAGGGTCAAGGAAGTGGGCATCAACTGATAAGTGTAAGGGAGGGGGCCAAGAGCAAGGGGGGATATCAACTGATTAAGGGAAAAGATAAAAACTTTCTGGGGTAAGGGAATGAGGTAACTTGATTATAAATAATGGCAGAGGGAGAAAGCAGTAAAAGAGAGATTCTGTACTGTTTTCAGTTAAATAATTCTATTGAAACCATTTCTCTGAATTTAAATAATGATTTGTGTAAAGGAAACTGTCATTGTAATTTCAGTGTAGGTGTATGAGATTATCAACTCGCTTTGTGAAGTTTCAATACACAGTATATACACCATAATATAAAGGAGGATTATTTTCTCTCCCGTTATATCGGTCACAAGCAGAGATATTCACAGGGAGTGGAGATTCCGTAAGCGACTGGAGAAAAAGCGTGGTGCACTCAAACGTCTATTGAAATACCTTGACCTATTTAGGCTGTTTTGGGTTTGTGAATGAATGAATCACAGACTAGTGATGTATTCAACCTCATCAAGTTTGATATTGTGGGTGGAGTGGGGGGGGGGACACTAAGAACACTCGGGTATCTATAGTAAAAATAAAGACGGGAGTTAATCCTAACTGTATACTTTGCATCCCATTGCAGTGAAATTTGAACAGTTTTCTTCACAGTTTGATAAAGAAAACAAAATACAAAAAATATGATAAGAAACAATTCTAGATTTGACTATTAGCAAACGAAACTCTAAGGTTCCTAATTTTTCTTACAGAGGCTTTTATCTGAGAAGGACTTGAGAAAATGAATTTTATTCCAAGATTTAGACATTTTTTCACAGTTTGACAAATAAAAATAAAAAATTTAAAAGAAATAAATAAGAAAAATTGAGATTTCACTTTTTCGGATAAACAAAAAAATTGTTTCCTAATTTTCATTATTCATACATTCGTTCATATCTTTATTCCTGTGTAATGGAACAGTTCCACACGCATGATGAACAAGTAGTCATGTCATAAATATGTGTACACCAGCACTTCGCGTGACAAAATAACAAAAGTACAATGAATTCATCAACAAATAAATAATGGCTATATGGAAGTGGATGGAAAATAAGACATTTAACTATAAATATTTTACGAAGATATTATCTTTTTTACTGGACCAAATTTAACCAACACACATTCATGATGTAAAGTTATGCTGGTGAAAGATTGTGCCTGAGGAAGTTTAGGGAAAATATCACATAGCATGTTAAATGGTTCTAACTTTGAATAAAGTGGTGATAATTAGGGCCGAAAAGTCAATACAGTAGACGAAGTGGAGGGGTGCATAGCATTTTTCATTACACTCCTCCTGTCACCCCCCTCAAAAATCATAATGAGACCTTCCATCACCATAAAACTCTCCTCACAACAAGACACTATGTGAGCAAACCATACTGTGACCCATTAATCATGTAACATGCTCTAAAGGCGTATATGCAAATGCGACAAAATAAAAACTGTTAAAAATTCATCTTACAATACAGGACGTTAGCAATAGTGAACGGATAAAACACCTTTTGTCCCGGTGTAGATAGGAAGGGATATCGTTTTAGTGATTGAAGGTTATCTGTTCCTTGTCAAAGCTGTATACAATTTTAAAATGATACATATTTTTTTGTGTCTAATTATGAGGACGATTATGACTGGTGCCATCGTGAGACTGGATTTGTTAACGTAAGGCAGTTTTATTTATCGCGAAACCTTGTTACCATTAAAACTAGAAATAAATGAGATCTATCACTTGCAAATAAGATGCAAATGATATGCAAATGATCTAAAGTAACGTTAATGCACTTATTCTTATTGAATGTTTTAAGTCTATAAAGGTTGAGACCTATTTAAGGCTATAAATGTTGAGGCCTATATCAATCAAGGATGTCATTGGCGATGACAAAAAAAATATATGCAAATAGCACAGTTACAGAATAATTAAAGTACACAAAATAGCGGCGATGTCATTTGTCATGAAATTGTGTCATCCATGTAAGTTGCTTGACAATTTTAAATATCGGCTTTTGAAGTGTTAGTTAATGACTTTTACGGTACTACCTTGATTTTGATTTTAAATCTTCCAGCTGTTCGTCCTGATTTCTGAATCACATGTATGACTAATATTTAGGCCCAAAAAAAAAAAAGGGTCTGTTTAGGGTTGCATGGGCAAAAAAACAAGGGTAGGTCGGTCAATTTTTTTATTTATTTTTGTATATTTTTGTGTACCGTGTGGTCATGTGATACAAAAAATGACATAAACAAGGTTCATTTTTTTATTTTTATTTTTTTCATCATAAAGTTTTGGGTCGGGGGTAAAAAGCTAGGGTCGGTCGGGAACCCTCAACAGACATATTTTTTTGGCCTTAGATGTTTACCTTGGTTTCTTAATAATTTGTGTTACTGATTTTGTTATTCTGTTTGGTTTATGAATCACTTCTGATTCTTGTTTAGACACCAGGTTTAGTGTTTCGCCATAAACCCTGTACTTTATATAGTGGTTCATTCAAACTTAATGACAGTAACCCAGTTTTACAGCAGAAACAGCATTTACCGTATTTTACAGTGAAGAAACACTAACAGTAACTTTGACAGGATAACAGGCTTACAGCAGAATACTTCTTTTGACGGTAAACTAGTATCAATACAGCAAAGATAATTGGTATTGACCAAGATTACAGCAGAGATAAAATACTTTACTGACCGATAATTTGTTTCAATTAAAGTAGACCAAGCTTACAGCAAAGATGAAATAATGTTTGAACTAGAAACTAGGAACAAAAATGAAATAACTTGCTTGATAGAAACACAAGAACATGGCAAAAATAATGACAATTATAAATATCAGAAAAAATCTTTGTACTCATGAAATCTGTTAAATAACAGAACATATTTTCAATAAGAACAAATCTCTCTTTACATAGGGTGGTAGGTCTAAATAGTAATCACCCTTAAGAAATATCAATAAAAACTAAAGGCTTGGGATGATAAATGGCAAAAACTTAGATAACATTATTTTTAACATATCACCCTGAAAGGATCTTTCTCATATACAGTAATGGATGCATCCGGGACGAGAGGTTTATACTCAGTGACTTGCAAATTTGTTAAATTTACCTGACATCTTTATATCTTCAGTGTGTGGTTATCATACATTATGCAGATAGAAGAAGAATAATTAAGAAAGATTACCTGTAGTTTTTACCTGTAGATATTTACCTGTAGGAGGTGAACATGGTATTTAAGGTAACTGTAAACACATATATATATTCTTATTAAGGAACAGTTGCATAGTCCCAAATGTATTTCTCTAATGATAATTTCATTATGGTTCACATACATATAACATTAGATTTGACATTGGATAATAAACATTTTTACCAAGGGCTACCCAGAAATAGATAAACAATATCTATACAACTATTTTTGACCATTATTTGGAATCTGACAAAATTAGTATCCTGCATATATCATTAAGTCTAATGCAAATCACCGGTATAATATGTGAAATAGCAGATATCCTTAACTCTAGCACAAATCACCAGTATAATATGTGAAATTGCAGATATCCTTAACTCAAGCACAATTCACAGGTATAATATGTGAAATAGCAGATGTCCTTAACTCTAGCACAAATCACAGGTATAATTTGTAAGATGGCAAATACATGTATATAGGGTTAGCTCCAACATAAATCACAGGTATAAAGTGTAAGGTAGCATACAACCTTAACTCTAATACAAATCACAGGTATAATGTGTAAGGTAGTATATAACCTTAACTCAAACACAAATCACAGGTATAATGTGTCAGGTAGCATATAACCTTAACTCGAACACAGAGCACAGGTATAAGGTGTAAGTTAGCATATAGCCTTAACTCTAATACAAATCACAGGTATAATGTGTCATGTAGCATATAACCTTAACTCTAACACAAATCAAAGCTATAAGGTATAAGTTAGCACAAATATAAATCACATGTATAATGTGTCAGGTAGCATATAACCTTAACTCTATCACAAATCAAAGCTATAAGGTATAAGTTAGCACAAATAAAAATCACATGTATAATGTGTCAGGTAGCATATAACCTTAACTCGAACACAGAGCACAGGTATAATGTGTAAGTTAGCATATAGCCTTAACTCTAATACAAATCACAGGTATAATGTGTAAGGTAGTATATAACCTTAACTCAAACACAAATCACAGGTATAATGTGTCAGGTAGCATATAACCTTAACTCCACCACAAGTCACAGCTATAAGGTGTAAGTTAGCACAGATACAAATCACAGGTATAATGTATCAGGTAGCATATAACCTTAACTCCAACACAAGTCACAGCTATGAGGTGTAAGTTAGCATATAGCCTTAACTCTAATACAAATCACAGG